ACCCAGCGTCCACTGGGGTGCTGGCCGAAAGCACAGGAGGAGGGAGGTCAATCAGCATGGCAAGACCCCAACATCTACGTCCACGCAAGCACAAGTCGGTAACTGGCGGGCGTGAGGCAAACTCAAGACGAGTCTCACTAGTGATGCGGTCAGTAATGTCCGCTGCAACGTCATGTAGATGTTCATCAGGAGACGGCTCACCATCCACAAACCACCGCTGAGACTTGTACAAAAGGCAAAAACCGGTCCGAACGGTATCAACCTCAACATTTTGCGACGTTCTCCAACGACAAGGGTCCCGTAGTAGTCGTTCCTGTGAGGGACCATGACGGTGCACGCGGTCCACCTCACAGACTGTCAGCACCGTGCCGTGCGAGAGTCGCAGCGACTCATCGATAGAGTGGGGACTTTTGCTCGATCCCACAAATAGATCGACCTCAAAGGTGCCAGTGGGGAGCATCGGGCATATTAAGCCTGGCCCATTCCGAAAAACGGAGTGTCGCTGGTAGGGTGACCGCAAAGATTGGACCCCCTGTAGGCGCAAGGTTGACGACCACTGAGGCCTGTCCAAGACCATCAAGTGCACTCGAGTGAGCAACGTAGGTCACAACACCTTGATAGGGGGTAGGTTCTGCAGGAGAGATGCTGTCAAGAAGCTCGAACGGAAGATTAGCAGCAGTGTCTCTGATTGCCTGTAGAACCTCTGACTGACTCACGCCTATAGGAATTTCCAGATCAACAAAGCTGGTCTGAAAGTGAGGCGCCATTATAGCTGCTCCAATAGTCGAAGAAAACTTCGGCACATTGGTCTCTTCTGCATCGTGCTCAGGAAGAGACTGAGTCGGCTCTTGGCCAATGTTGAAATCTTCGGAAACACTTGGTTCCGGGAGCAGTACACCAGCTAGAGCTGTAATATCCGCCGGGTCAATGTGATCAGGAATGGCCCACACACAAACTGGAACATTCAAAAAGAGAAGGAAGGCATACAGGAGCCTCCCTGCACAGGAGAGCGAGCGATGCGCTCTCCGATTTGGGCGGATTTTTGTCGTCCACTGCAGGATCGGTACATGGGTTCCGATCAATCCAAGCGGCTTGGCCACGGACAACTGAATAGCAGAGCCGCGGGACACGTGCTGCCAAGAAAAGCGACAGTGTGGTCTGGCACCATGCAAAAGGTGGGACACCAATGAGCAAAGCATGACAAACCAAAAAGGGGCAGCAAGAGAGCGGAAGTGTGCTGCAAGCCAAAGGACACTGAACCATCCAAGTTGCTCCCGTAGAGCATCACCGGGACTCTTGTTTTGGAACGGGGCCTGCGTCCCAGAGCCACCGATACGCATGTTTGGCGCTCCCATTCCAAAATCGAAAGGACCCTGTGATAGAGTGTGCTTACGACATGTAAAAATGTCGCCCAACAAGGGCACAATGGCCATGTTAATAGAGGTGGTCCAAGGGCAGTAACGGCTGCAGGATTCCTCAGGGCAGCAAAACTGGGCAATAGAGGAAGTGACCTCAGGTGGATGATCCCAAGGGCGCGAGGCTGTTGAAAATCCCTCATCTGGTGAGGTCACGAATGGCAAAGGAAGAGGCTCAAGATCACAAGCCCAGTGATCCGAGTCCCTCCGCGAGGAAGACGGGAGCAGACCCCCGCCTGAAACACAACAAGCCACGGAGTGCTCAGGCCGGTGTCTCTCAGACGGGAAAACATCTGGCTGAAGACTGATATCAGGTCGCCGGGCACAGGGAGGAAAATTGCTACAGGGTGAAACACTCCTCACTGACCTCGTAGTTCTGAGCCGATGCATGTCCACCGTAACGTGCCCCGCGGATTGACCGACCGGAAACTCGACAACTGGAAACTCAACCCCAGGAGTTTCAGCAGTGTCCCGTCCGACCAGCCTCCTGCGAGGGCACGACCGTGACCATGGTCGGCGATCATCACTCTCGCCCTTGCTCATGTGGGCTCGTCTCCAGGATCTGGCATTTTGTCTCTCTTCGCTGTTTCCTCGCTGGGCTCGTCGTCGTAGAACACCGAGATGGGTGGTTTTCCGGGCTGAATGGGTTGGATGAGTCCCTTCAGCTCTCTTTGCCCACCACCGAATGGTAGCAGAGCACGCTTGGCTTGTAGTCTTTCCACCAAGGGGTCGCTGGAAGAAGGCTCCATCGTTCCACTCGGGTCGTGGCCTGCCTCGTATGGCATGGCTCTGGCACAGGGAGACGGAGGCTTCACCTTGGCATATAGGCTGCCTGGGGATGCCTGGTATGGTCCACCACTCGGTACACCACTCGTCCCAGCATAGCCCATCCCAACAGGGCCTGTAGACGGAGCAGCCTCGCTGGTTGCCGGAGGGTGCGGATGGGTGTTCCCAGCTATAGAAAGCAAGGGATCCACCTTCATCTCCACATCCGTGTTCCTGGGCGCAACGCCAAAAGTGGGTGTGCCTGGTCCATGTGTGGGTCCAACATGTCCTCCAGCAGCCAGCGCCGATTGTTCCCATTGTTGTCTGGCTGCCTGAACTGCTCTGTCCAGGACATCTTGCGCGTCTTGTCCCGGGCATTCTCCTCTGCCTTCTGCGAGCAGGCCCTCGAGTCTTGCAACATGGAGCTCTGGTTCGCGAGGAGCTCTTCCGGCATGTACCTGTAGAAGTTCTCGCCTTGACTCCTCCTGAGCCAGGACTGCACGTCCCAAGTCCTCGTCCAGCCTTTGAACATCCTTGGTGAACTTGTTGTACTCTCTGGCATAGGACCTTTGGAGGTCTGCTTCGTAGCGGTCCCAAAGTTTTGCTCTCTCTTCTTTGGCGCGGTGGAGGGAGGTCACTCGCTGTTCGCATTTCCTTGTCTTGTTGAGAGCGTCCTGTATGAGCTGTACCATGGATGTCGGGCCAGCAGCAGCGCTGGGTTCCTGCGGTTCCCTTTCCCATCTCTGACCCCGTCCCTGGTCGTATGATGGAAAGCCAGGATCCTGCCGTGACCAGGACCCACGCCAGTATTTGTAACCTGGCCCGTTCTGTTGCTGTCCTCCTCCTCCGCGTCGCCATTGTTTGCTCATGTGGACACCTGAGCCGTGGTGTCTCCAGAGCCTTTCGTTCTGTAGTTTCGCCAATTGTCGGCCTGCACGAAAGGAGGTCCTTGCCTTTGATCTTTGTGCTCGCTGATGGCGGTGCCAGTTCGGGCTCCGGAGGCCTATGGCTGGAGCACGTGTTACACGGCGACTTGTGTCGCCTGGGGCTACAGTTTTCCGGCGCTCTTCCGGCGATCTGAGCCCTGCACAACCACATAGATACATACACATACACATACATATATACTAATTATGACGTATCATGATGTATCCCTAGACCCTACAAACCTAAAACCCAATTTACGCACTAATTATGATGTGTTTTACCGAGCCGAGAGTCGCTTCTGGGGCCCCGGGGCCTTCGAGCGTCCCATGGCCAGAGGCGCAGAGGAGGCCAGGGCTTTGTTCGGGTTTAGGGTTGTAAAACTTGAAAAACCGTAAACTCCTGAAGCCCTTACTCCTAAACCTGAGCTTCGGGTTGATGCTTTCTCTTCCTTGTTGACGGGCTTAAGGCTTCAAGATTTGAGGGAACCCATGGGTCCTAGAAGCCCTTATCCTCAACTCCAGAAGCTTAAGCCCCCCAACCGCTACATCGCTGGGGATAAGGTTTTGAAGCATTGCTAATCATTCAGGTCCCGATTCTACACCAACAGATTGTGGACACTCCCACAGCGCCAGAACTTTACAGGGCCTCGTGTAAGGAAGCTGTAGCACAGCAACCCATTCCGGGCACAAGGCTGCGACAAAAAGCAAGCCTTTTGGACAAAACCGCAGCTGTGGAGTGCGAATAGTGCAACAACATGCTCGATGCTTGAGCAGAAGCAAATGCTGCGCATCAAACTCACCTCTCACATCCAGAGGACACGAAGTTTCGGCTCTAGGCTCTAAATAATATCTACTGTTATTATGGCAAAAATAATCACAGTAATGATAACTATAGAAATAAATATGAATAAATACATAAATAAATAAGTAAATAAATAAATAAATATATATATATATATGCATAGATGCACCCAAAGGACGTGCTCAAAGCATGGTCAATGTCCTGGACGACACAAGACCATAAGCTCGAAAGCCTCTCTGGCCTCAGGGAAATCTCTTTCCACGAGCAATAGCTACATAACAGACTGGTGGGGCCTCAGCGTGGACCTAGAATTCAAAGTCCACCACAGGGGAGTTGAACTCCAATACTAACATAAATTCAGCAGCTGTGAAAACCCCTTCCTATATTCCTCTTTTGCACTTCGTAGAAAAACGCATATGCAAGATGAACAGATCTACAGATGAAAGCTGAGCACTAATTCCCCTGGAATGCTAACGATTAGCTTTGCAAGCAAGTTCGAAAGTGTGGAATCAACAAATGGAGGTTGACTGTCATGGTCACAGCAGGCTGGGGGCTATGAGCTGCGTTGTGCCGAAAACTCCTACCTACTGGTGTATGGGAGCACCTGCTACGCCTGTTACTAGTACGCTCATCGAAGCACCTCTAACTCTTAAACTCTAACAAGAGCTGTAGACACGGAGCTGGGGAATCGCCATGGACTCCGAGCGATCAGAAAACATGGGGTCCTAACAGAAGCCACAATAGTCGCCTCTTAGTAGTGCTGGCGGGCAGGCTTTTAGCAAAAGAATCCCCCCAACCCCCAACAAAAACGGTGCCCGTGTTTTCCGATTTCAGAAAGCTCACACGAGAGACCTGACTGCATCCTCCGAAATCTCTTGAACTGACCCGGCTTTTCGTGGACGTCGCGACGCAGGACGAATCGAAGGGTCCCGAACATGCCTGATCCATGGTGGGGACTCTGGGGCTGCTGGCTTAAACCCTGACGCCTATAAGGTGGCAAGCTCTGGATCCTAAAGCCCACAAATAGCAAACCAGCAAAAGCGAGTCGCTGCAAAGCACTAAAGCCAAATCTATCCACGAGGCTGCATGCCCTCAGGCGCCGTCAGCATCGGAGCTATCCAAACCTTGTGGCTGGGTAACGAGCGGTAAGGCTGAGGACGGTGCTTGAGGCTTTGCTGGCGAGGTCCTGATGCCTGTGGAGGTCTACGGGCTTATGTGTCTGTCGTTGTAGCTGAGGACATGTGGCGGTTGATAGCTTCAAGACCGCTGTGTGAGCCCCTGCTGTAGATTCCACTGTAGATGAACAGCAAAGGGGCATTTCGCAACCAGGGTGCGGCGTGGCTCCTAAGCCCTCAACCATACACGCGCAGGCCCAAGCCTCGAGTTGAAATTTAAACGCTTACGCTTGAAGGTTCCTTCAAAGTCTTTTCAAGTATATGAGCTTGTTACATTCACTATGGGAAAGAAGCGAAAAGACTGCCGACTGCCCTGACTTGAACGCCTGTTATTATGCTACAAGTACCAGCCAAATTCGTACTCCCTAGCTTGTCACGTGAAGTACATGCAACTAAAACTAAAACAATTGTGACTACGATTCCTTAGACTTCCCTCGTATTTCCCAGTGCTCGCTGTGAGTCGCAATGGAACAACTTGGTGTCAAAGACTTCGACATCGACAGAGGTCGGAAGGCTGACGTCTAATGCAATGTATAACATACTTATACATGAACATGGAAATAAATATATAAATATAGAGATATATGTATACCTACATATATGTAATTATGTTGCTCCTCCGTTCCTTGTCCATGCTTCGCATGTCCCAAACCTTTCTGGGCCTACACTGCTTACACGGCCTCATGGCAGACATGTCAGAATCGTCGAAGATACTTTCATAACACAGGCTGTGAATTTAAGCTCAGGGGTCCGGAAGGAAGGATTGAAAGCTCCGGGGCTCAAAGGGTCCGGGAACGGGACGGAGAATGCCACAACGTAGGCTTCGGGCGGAGCGGTTGTGGCTGTAGTGAAACCCTCAACCGTCGGGACATTGCGGGGATTTAGGGACTGGGGAGAAACAGGGGGACACCTTTCTTGTAAGGCTTAAATTTATGTATGAGCGTATGAAATACAGCAAGGGGCTGGCTAAGTAGTCCGGCCAGACTTTCAGATGCTTTTCCTCACTGCTGATACGCCCGACGAGCACCGCCCGTAGCGTCATCCTTGACTGATGCTTTCCAGAAACTACTGCAGGCCTCGCCCACTTGGCAGAGCACCTACGTATCTAGTTCAATCAGTGCAGCTGGTGAGTTTGATGCAATGCATAAGTGTACCGACAAGTGGGTATGCTGGAAAGGGGTACCCGTAGTTTCGGGGTTCTAGTTTCGGATCGGCTGGGTGGCAGTTTCGGGGCTGAGTTTCGGGACGATGGGGTCAGTTTCGGATCGGGCCCGGCTCAGTTTCGGATCAGGCCTCGGTCAGTTTCGGATCGGGCCGAGGTCGGTTTCAGGTCCAGAGCAGGCCCGGTCCTAGCCCCGATGCCGAAGCCGTCGTTGTTTGTTGCGTGCAGTAGGCCGCTTCAAAGAACTTTGTTAGACGACAAACCGTATGGTAGAATCTTAGAACGACCCAAACCCAACCAAAAAAACGTAACACAACCCGAACCCTGAAGCCCCAAAGCCTAAACCCTAAAGCCCGGGAAAGCAACACCTGATTGCACTACCCCTGCATTCTTTATAAGGCCTAAGGTTCATGCAGGGTTTAGGGTCCTGACCCTTGTATGCACCGCTTCTGGTCCTAGCGATGAGAACCTGCTCGGATTTGTTCTTGTCCATGTGGGGCTTCTTGACTAATTTAGGGCTACGAATGGGCACGTTCGTGAATCAACGATTCATCTATATCAGCGGCCCTTCTCGTGTTTTGTACATGCTGTTGGCCTCTCTGCTTAGACATTTAAGGGGTTTCCTGGGAGAAATAATAATTTGCGTCTTTTTGTGTTTTGGTTCTCTGCAAATGCTTTTTGTGGTTATCAGTTTTTGTTGTTGGTTATCAGCCTGTTTTGTGTTTTACTTGCTTTGCTGGGGCCTGCCACGCTTTCGGGCTGCTCACTCGAATATCCGCGTCTTTTGTTCTTGGTTATCTGCATATTAAATTCTCTAGGTCTGGGGTTTAACCGAAAAAGCCAATAGAAACCAGTGATACTAAATAGCAAACCCACATACAGTAGTACACCAACCGAAAAACAGCTGAAACTAATCGATAATTAATGGAAATGCAACAAAACAACCAATACAACACCCGTAAAACCAAAGTGCGGATACGGTTCACCACTTACCGTAAACACGCCCTGCCCATTGGGCGATCCCGGTTCACCATAAACCTAAGTTAAACATGCCCCCCACCTGGCCCTGAAACTCTCATTGGGCGATGCCGGTCCATCATATTTCTTCAACACGCGGCGATTCCGGTTCATCAAGTCTCGTAAGCACGCCCACTCATTGGGCGATTCCAGTCCTTCATCTTAAACACGTCCCTCCATTGGGCGGTTCCGGTGCATCATACATCCTAAACACACCCTCGTTTGGCGATTCCGGTTGCCGATCCCCCCATTAGGCGCTTCCGGTTCATCATATATGGTTGAAACACGCCCCGCATTGCGCGATTTCGGTTTATCATATGTTGGAAACACGCCCCTCATTGGGCGATGCCGGTGCACTATATATCTTAAGCACGCCCCCCTCATTCGGCGATTCCGATTCACCATATATCTTAAACACACCCCACCCATTGAGCGACGCCGTCTCATCATCAGCATCATCATCATCATCATCATCATCATCATCATCATCATCATCATCATCATCATCATATATATATATATATGTGTGTGTATGTATATATATATATATACATATATATACATATATATATATATATACACATGTATATGTATATATACATATGTATCTTAAACAACCACCATTAGGCGAATCGAACCGAAATCGCCAAGTGACGGGACGTGTTTAAAGCAAACGACGAACCGGAATCGCCAAATGAAGGGGCGTGTTTAAAAGTGTGATGAACCGGAATCGCCAAAAGAGGGGACGTGTTGAGGATAATGGTGAGCCGGTATCGCTCAGTTTAAGATATATGCTGAACCGGAATTGCCCAGTGAGGGTCGTGTTTCAAACGCATGATGAACTGGAATCGCCAAATGAGCGGGCGTGTTTAAGACATGTCATGAACCGGAATCACCCAATGAGAGGCGTGTTTCAACATATTTGATGAACCGGAATCGCCTAATGCGGGGAATCGGCAAATGAGGGGGCGTGTTTAAGAAAGATGATGAACCGGAATCGCCAAACTCAGGTGCGTGTTTAGGATGTATGATGCAGCGGAACCGCCCAATGGAGGGGCGTGTTTCAAATGAAAGACAGGAATCGCCCAATGGAGAGGGTGTTTAAGATACATAATGAACCGGATTCGCTCAATGAGGGGGCGTGTTTAAGAGACTTGATGAACCGGAATCGCCCAAATGAGGGGGCGTGTTGAAGAAATATGATTAACCGGCATTGCCCAGTGAGGGTGAATCGCCCAGGTGGGGGGGGGGTGGGGGGGGTGGGGGCGTGTTTAACTTAGATTTATGGTGAACCGGAATCGCCCAATGGGCAGGGCGTGTTGACCGTCTGTGAAACGGAACCGCCCATTGGTTTTATGGGTGTTGTATTGGTGGAACGACGGCTTCGGCATCGGGCTAGGACCGCGCCTGCTCTGGACCTGAAACTGACCTCGGCCCGATCCGAAACTGACCGAGGCCTGATCCGAAACTGAGCCGGGCCCGATCCGAAACTGACCTGGCCCTCGTCCCGAAACTCAGCCCCGAAACTCAACACCGAAACTGACCCCGAAAACCCTGAAACTCGCAACTTCCGGTATGCTGGTATGTATGCATGGGCAGGTCGCGATGCTCGCCTCCAGAAGCGAACAAAACATCACAGACCCGGGTTTTCTCCTGGTTGGAGTCACGGGATCAGTTCTCTGCACTGCTGCAAAGCCTATGCTACTGTTCATGACCTGTCGCTCTTCAGCTTCATCGCTTGCGCTCGCTGCACAACGTACCCGACGCACCCTAGCCAGCCGAGACCCATTCCTGTCTTGACGCACTGTTCAGCTCGAATGCTCGAGTAGTAGGCTTAGGCAACCCTTGGTGGCACTATGGATTGTTGTGAATTCAGAACGTTAGCATTCAGACTGATTTGTAGATCATGAACCTGGTTTATGATGTCACAAGCACTGGCAACGCAGTGATCAATGCTATCAGCAGTTCTGGTCATAAGCAATACCGGCACTCTTAGCAACTTTCTTCCGTGTACTGCTGCTTAACCCTCAAGCTAATGCCCACGATGCTTAGTTATCAACAATGAAGACAACGCCGGTCACAGTCTGTTAAGGGCTTCAGGCTTCCCAAACCTCGAGCCACTGGAGGGAAAGGAAATGAGACCCAAAAGACTCCCTGCAATATCCTCTCGAACCCAATGCACAAAGAGCTAGCAATGTAAGAATGACAGACATCATCATCACGAGTATGCATCAAAGAATGCTCCACGAGAGCCTCAGGCTGAGCCCCTAAATCTGTCCTCAACCCTGTAGCCGCCCACGTAGAAGTGCACCATGAACTGATACCGAAGCACTCTCCCTGGACCGCTCAAGACTCCGTGGTTTCGACCTGCCGAAACTCGGAACAAAAAGAACTTAACGCCGAAAATCTCAAAAAGCCCTCATGCCCACGCCCTCACCCCGGATTTCGCCAAAATCCTAAACCCTACATTACCCTCAAGAGCCCCTAAAGGACCCCACAAAGGTAACCTTAGTGGAACCCTAGTAGAACCCTAATTCTGTTTGAACTACGAATGCCCTCTCTAGAAAGAAAACGAAACCCCATGAACTTCTGCAAACCTTCATTATTCTCCACTATGCAAGCTTTGAGCCCCCTATAAAGGAACCCATGATCTTCGTCTGCGGCTGCAGAGAGCAGAAGGAAGATTGCACGCAGCTCAGGAACAGGCCGCCCCGGTAGGTTTCAGCCAAGGCTTATGGTTCAGGGTTTTGGTGGGCTTAAGGCTTTGGGTTTGCCGTGGAATAGAGCGTAGGCGGCTGTATCTTGCGACAAGGTTGGGTCGAGTGCATCGTACTGCGGCGATGTGCTGTGAAAGGGCTTTGTCAGGCCTGGGCTTTGCGATGTTGAGGGTTGAGGGCTTCGCGGTTTTAAAGTTTAGTGGTTCAGGGGTGGGGTTTCACGAGCGAGCAACGGGTTTGGCAAGGTCTCCTTGACTAGGTCGTACCATGTCTGTTACGGGCGTGTTGGATTTCAACAATCCTAAACCCTAAACTCGTGGCCCTGCTGGCAAAAGACTGACAATGAACCCCAAACGACATGTAGGGTGTAGAGGTCTCGCGTGTAGAGGTCTCGAGCTTCAGGCTGTAGGATTTCAGGGTACACGGCTCAGGGGGCTCAAGGTCCGATTAGGGCTTAGCGGTTCGGGAGATTGTTGTTAGGGGACTGTAATATATAGGGCTTTAGTCTTCAGGGTCGGGCCAAAGAATAGTTGCTGTCCTGACGGGGCCCACTTCTGTCCTCTGCCTCCTGTGCATGTGCGCTTCTTTCGGGGCTAGGCCCCTTAGCATTCATAGGAGGGCGGGACCTGGCGTCCTGGATCTTGGGTCCGGACACCCCCAGCGCGACTCGGGCCCAGGGGATTTCTTGCTAGAAGCTCAACATCGTTTCACAGATGCTCCAACTCCTCCCTTTCCCCACTCCCTGTCTCTCGCTTTGTTGCTTTTTTGTTATCTCTCTCTCTCTCTCTATCTCTCTCTTTCTCTCTCTCTCTCTCTCTTCCTCTCCCTCTCTCTCTCTCTCGTTATCTTTCTCTTTCTCTTTATCTTTCTCTTTCTCTTTACCTTTCTCTTTTTATTTCTCTTTCTCTTTCTCTTTCTCTTTCTCTTTTTCTTTATCTTTCTCTCTCTCTCTCTCTTTCTGTTTCTCTTTCTCTTTCTCTTTATCTTTCTCTTTCTCTTTCTCTTTCTCTTTCTCTTTCTCTTTCTCTTTCTCTTTCTCTCTCTCTCTCTCTCTCTCTGTCTCTCTCCTCCTCGTTTGCCAAACATCAAGTGTTCTACGG